GGGACATCTTCATAACCTGACAGCAAAAGATGGGACAACTTTCTGACAAAAGAGTTTATATAGTTAAAAAATGCCCTGGTTATAGTGGGTTTCAGTAAATGTTATACATGGGGAAATACCACTTTACATGCATGTATTGAAGAGTTAATATGCCTACATAGGTATGCTGTCAAATTGGTAAATTGCGTGCATTTGCAATCTGCTAACTAACCCATTGAAATACAATGTTTTTAGAATTTGCAGGATTCAGAACTATTTGATCCAAAGCGTATACGTATAGTAATTTCAATCAACGCGGTTAATTAAGTTAGATGGTCAGTTCAAATCTCATGCAGGAGCAAAATAAATAGCACATACAGGGTGAGTAAAAAAAACCTGATACCTTTGCGGCTAATTTGAAAAACAAAGGTGTCAGTTTTTTTACTCGCCCTGTACAATGAAATGCTAGTAAGCAGTAGAATTGTGCAAATTATATAGTGTTTGCAGGTATTGTGATACAACCTGTATTGTATGGTTTCTTATAAGAACGGAGCAACAACATATTATATTGATATATTGCGTGGTTTCGTAAAAACGGAACAACAACATATTATATTGATATATTGCGTGGTTTCTTAAGAACGGAGTAACAGCATATTATACTGATAAATTGCGCGGTTTCTTTAAGAACGGAGCAACAATATATTATATTGATATATTGCGTGGTTTCTTAAGAACGGAGCAACAACATATTATACTGATAAATTGCGTAGTTTGTTAAGAACGGAGCAACAACTTATTATATTGATATATTGCGTGGTTTCTTAAGAACGGAGCAACAACATATTATACAGGTAAATCGCGTGGTTTCTTTAAGAACGGAGCTACAATATATATTACTGATATTGTTTGCGTGGTTTCTTAAGAACGGAGCAACAATATTACTGATATTGATATATTTAAGAACGGAGAAACAACATTATATTGATACAGTAGATGCGTGGTTTCTTAAGAACGGAGCAACAACATATTATATTGATAAACTGCAAACAGCATATTATAATGTTTGAAGTTATTATAGGTTCACGATCTGTAAATCATTTTCACGAACCGTACGCTTCGTACGGTCCGTAAAGCCACTTCACAGTTCGTACGGACCGTACGGATTTGTCGGATCGTGAATCGTGTTACGAGCCGTATACGAACGGTACGATGCATCCTGAATACATAACACAACTATTTCACACCTGTGAAAACAGTGGTTACGTACTGCGCAGTAGTAATAGACAATTCCCATTACGGACTAATTTTAAAAGTGGGAAAGGAGATGCAAATAAATCACCACAGCTAGAAAAAGTGTACTAAAATTAGTAAAATTACAAAGCTTGGTTGCAAAGGAAAATATAGCTTTGCAAAGTTCGCAAATTTTGCATAATTTTGTATTGCTTGCGGAAATTCCTATCACATTCCTACCACATTATATTTGGGCCAAAAATGGTAGCAATTTCCGCACGCAATACAAAAGTATACACAATTTGCAAAAATTCCAAGGCTATATTTTCCGCATTTTACAACATCTCGCAACCAAACTTTGCAAATGTACTAATTTTAGTATGTTCTTTCTAGCTGCGGTGATTTACTTGCATCTCCTTGCCTAGTTTTAAAATTAGTCTACAATAGGTTTGTCCATTTAAAGCTGTCTCAACCTGAACCAAAAACGAATTTCTTCAAAAATAGCTTTTCGTACAGAGCAGCGTACTGGAACAACATCCCAATGAACTTGTTGAAAACCCTAAGAGAGTCAACAAGCTTAATAAAAACAGTCCATTATCTATCAAATGATCACGTGCATCTTGTAAATAAGTAAATAAGTAAAATTACCTATGTGAAAGGTTACCGTGTTTAAAGATCATTAATAAAAAAATAAAATAAAAAATTCTCTAAGCTAAGTAAGTAAAATGGGAGTAATACTTGATGTAATCGGCATGGCGAGAAATGAGGACAGTTAGTGCAACACATCGGGGCGTCGAATTTAGTGAAATTGGGCGCACGGAACTGACTGCGCTGACTTAGGAATGATAAAATTGTCGGATTCACATGAGTGAATTTATTTTGCATTTTATGCCTTTTATCAAGTATTTTATGAATATAGAATTTGTCTTTTTATCAGTCGTTGAATAATTTGTGTACGACGGACTTTTATGCACAAGGGACATCTCATAAAAGGACGATTTCCACAGCAAAATATTGTAAATATTTTCCAATTTTCGCCTTATTATTTTCGGTTTCCGCGCTATTTTGAGCCATCGTGTATCTCTTTTTATCGACCAGCGGCTCTTAGCATTAATTTAAATGTCTACAAAATAGCGTGAAAGAACACAGTTGTACGATCGAAATTATGGAGAATTTCGCAGCTGTTCTTCACTACAAGCTCTACGGTTGTGAGAAGTCAAGTTTGAAGTTTGTTAAAAAAAATCAGATAATTTTAAAACCATTTGGTCGCACTAATACAATCTAAGGGACTTCCAAAGCAACACAGAATGACAGTGTGAACATCGAGCAGGAAATACAGACGTGGGCATTTCGTTTGAGAGGGGATTTGACCGTATTTCCACATTACCAGAAAGTATGGAGTTACTTGGACCTGCTGAGAGCAAATCGAGGGACGTCAGGAGTTTGCAAGACAACATTATTCAGGCATTTTCAAGATTTAAAAACGTGCGCAACTTGAAAATTTAACAGTCTTTTTGTATTCTCATCGATTTTCCCCGAGTTTCGGGCGTCAGGCCGGGGCGAGGGTACTAATTCCCCCCAGCTATTTACACCCGGGGAAGTGGAAGCATTAGAGAAGCCTAAAGTTCATCAATGATCGCGGACGTTGGTCACTAACCGTGCGGTGCGTAGTGATCCTCACTGATCTCAAAAATATGGCTGCTTGGCAGG